ATTCTCTTGTGCTCTTGGTGAATTAAGTAGGTCATCTTGGTATCACCACTTTGAAATTGGGACCTAGTTGACCTAGTTTTCTTCATTCATTATTTTAACACTAAGAAACATTATATCTGGCACTGTGACTAAAAACATGAACCTATCTTTATGAGTACTCTACCATAACTGAAGGAGGCAGACATCGAGTAAGTAAGTAAAATAACACATAAATAAATTCCATGAATAAATGAATTCTAGACTGGAGGATATGGTGCAAACTGGACACTATCTGTATCCCTCTTTACATATGTTAATTTTTTTAAAATATTTATTTATTTATTTATTATGTATACAATATTCTGTCTGTGTGTATGTCTGCAGGCCAGAAGAGGTCACCAGACCTCATTACAGATGGTTGTGAGCCACCATGTGGTTGCCGGGAATTGAACTCAGGACCTTTGGAAGAGCAGGCAGTGCTCTTAACCACTGAGCCATCTCTCCAGCCCATATGTTAATTTTTATAAAAGCTTTAAACAATACTGACAATTATGAAATCTGTAAATTGGAGACAGCTTTAAAAGTCAATTCATTTACATTCATCATTTGATAGCTAAGGACAACAGAATTCTAGGAGCCCACATGAATAGCTTTCCTTAGGAAGTGAGCTGTGCTAGCTCACTTTTGCTTTGATTTTGTTTTTGTAATTGTCAATTAGATACAGTCAAGGGAGCTTCAGTTGAAAAACCACCTTTTATCAGATTGGCTATTGTGTTGATTGACAAGTGACAGGGAAATCCCAGGTCACTGTGGGCAGCACCATCCCTAGGCAGTTGGGCCTGGGCTAGATAAGTCAGCTAAGTTCTAGTTACAGAGCAGGCAGTATTCCATAGTTTCTGCTTCAGTTCCCACTTCTAATTTCCTGTCTTGAGTTTCCTGCCCTGGTCTCCCTTGGAGAGGGATCCTTACCTAGAAATATAATCTGAAATAAATCCTTTTCTCCCCAAATTGTTTTTGGTCATGGTGTTAATCACAACAGCAGGGAAGCAAACTGGAACATTAATTATGCAAACTAAAGGGACACTTTGTTGTTAGGCTCTTATCCTTCGAGATCTAAGTGACCTTAACTCCCAGATTATCTCACCCACTCTCATGTAACCTACCATTCTTAGCACACAAATCATTTGCTAATATCCCACCATCTCCACCACTGTGGCCAACAGTTCTATTAATAAAAATCTACCCACATCTCAAAGGTACAACTGTAAAGCCCATGTGGCTTTCCTCCACAATAACGACCTAAGCAAAGTTCCCTCCTCTACATCTCTCGGGCCTTCATCATCACTTACCCTGAACTGTGTATCCCTCACACTTCTTAAAATTGAGCACATATGCCTTAAGGGTAGAAAATGCATTGCTGCTACTATGCTTTGGTGATTTCTTGTTCTAATGAATAACCAACCAGTGCCACAGCTATCCAGAGGGAGCAATCATCCTACTTAAGGCTCACTGGCCTGTAAGAATCACTCTGAAGACTCAAAACTCCTAAAGAAAGGCAAAAGTTCAGTGCTGCAGCAGGACATCTAAGCTTTATTTTAGGAATATTTATATGCCATTTAGTATAAAACAGGCAATCTTCTTAAGATTAGGTAAACAATGAAGTAAACAAAGAATAATAACACTGACCCAAGATCTGAAAAACCTGGGCGGACTGGGATGATGGGTGTCTATCCAATAATGTCTTCTAATTTGTATGTATACCTAAAAGCATGGTGTATACATGTGTGGCATATCATATGTAGGCACATACAGAGACCAGCGCTAATGGTAGGATATCATCCTCAATCATCTCACTACTTTTTCGAGACAATCTTACTTAGCCAGGAGATAACCATTTCAGTCAGATGGTCTCCCTCCACTCCGCCCCCACACTGGGGTTATAGATGTGCAGAGCCAACCTCACTCTATGTGAGGCGGGATCTGCATTCAGGTCCTCATGCCTGTACAGCAAACACTTTAACCATTCAACAACCCGCCCTGCCCCTAGAATCCATGAATAGTGCTGTGATCCCAGAACTCTCATGACTGTGGCAGTAAGATCCCCAAGTTTAAAGTCCCCATGGACTACATAATATGATCCTGTACTTCAACCCTCCCCCTCAAAAAAGACATAAAAGAAAGCCAAGTTCACATCTAAATTCAGGTGACTGAGTCAAAGGATCACTATGTGTCTGAGGGCACCCTGGGTACAGTGAGTACCAAGAACCACAGAGTGAGAATGTCTCAAAAGACACGTGTGTGCGCACACACATATGTATATATACTTACATGTAAAATGAAATTTTTGTCTTTTAAATAATAACTTGAAAAAAGAAAACCAACTATCTTCAAAGTTATTACTTTTTAATCTTCTCTAAAGTGACATAAATGCTCAAAATACAATTGGCATAAAAAGCCCAACTCTCCCCACCCCAAAAATATGCCAGAAGTACCTAATTAATTTTAATTCACAAAGAGCACCACAGGAAGGACACCTGGAGCTTTGACAAGGCAGTTCTTATATGCATTTCCTGCTTCTCAGAACACCCTGGAACTCTCCTTTCTGGCAGCCTCTAACAACAAGGTCTTCCGGCCTCCTTTTCCCTGATGTTTAAATAGCTTCTGTTTGGTCGTGAGGCTTGGCCCTAACACAAATGTCACATCTGACCTCTTGAACACTTTACTTTCACCAGCTTCACCTTGAAGCCAGAATCATGTTAAAGGTCAGGAAAGGATGCCCTGTAATGTAGCAATCCACTGCAAGAGCAAGTCTTGCCGGCTACAAAACAGATCCAATGTGCTACACAAGACAGGTGACAGCTGGGAGCACCAGATAGATGACAGCTGCAAGCCGAGAGTGAGGGTAATCGGGGTAATCATCACCAGCCTACTGGGGGGGACTCTGAAGCTCTGTAAAAGGACATGCACAATTTCAAATAACATGACACTCTGGATGATGTTGAGCCGAAGCAAGCCGCAGACCAACCTAGGTTGCTCTTTTCTAGCAAGAGGGGCAGGTGTGTGTGTGTGTGGGGGGGGGGGGGGCAGAGAGCTTGAGAGACAGCAAAATGGAAAAAAAAAAAAAGCACTCCCAATGTGATATGTCATTTCCTCTGCACCATAAACCTGTATGCCCAAAGCGTCTTTAAACATAAGTTTCTTTTGTTAAAACTGAGTGTGAAGCTGGGCATGGCAGCTTAAATCCATAATCCTAGTGCTAAGGGGGTGACAGCGGCAGAGGGCTGAATGTAGGATGGTAAGGGCATAGAATATCTTCCTGGCAGCCTGCTTTTCTACACCTTCAAAGAAAAAACATTTTTATATTTTTGTTTTGATTTGGTTTTGAGACGGGGTCTCATTATGTAGCCCTGGCTGGCCTGGAACTGTATGTAGAATAGAGTCATCCGATTGTAACTGACTGCCTCCAGAGAGCTTAGATGAAGGCACAAGCCACCTTCTTAAACAAAGAAAATGGACTCTTTGGGGCCACAACCTAAGTAATATTTGCTGACACTGCAGAAGAAAAAATTAGACCCTCTAATACTTAAATTTAGCTCATCTACCACATACTAGGTTCATACACTAATAGTAATAAAAAGGGGGGAGCAGAAGTCCAGTATTCTCTGGCCAACTGGATGGGAGATATTTAAGTCTGGCCTAACTACCGCTGTCTATCTTCAGGCTCTTGACTCTTACAGTAAGCTTGCTTAATTTAGATAGTAAAGAAATAGTTGGCAGGTGCTAAACAAGGAAACTGCTTAATTTTAGGATAATCTATAGATTGGGTACACTTTACCTAATATAAAGAAATGGTTCATCACCTTTTTATAACCATTTACGATAATCACCACAGGAAAGCGATTTGCATGTATAATTACATTTAGTTTTCTTTTTTCCTCTCCCAAATAGAAGGTTTGGAATCCCTGAGGCGGAGTGACAGAAACACTGGGGTTTTTGTCTGCTTTGCTTACTAATGACTTCTTACTCAGAAGCCATACAGGTATGCCTTAAGTGTTCAATAAATGTTCATTATTAACACATGGATGAACAAATCAGTATCACTGAGGTATAGAGAAGATCAAAGATGTGGCTGGAACCTGAGCTTAAGTGGTCTGATACATTTGGTTCGACTATTTTAAAGTATGAGCCAACATGGGCTTCTGCTATTGTGACTAGAAGTACAGTTTCAGATAATGTCTATACCCAGAAGGATAACTCGTATGCTTCAGGAAAAAAAAAAAAAAAAAACAGCTCAGAATGTCTTCATGTTAACAAAACTGCCAGTTTCCTAAGGAGTGTATTGTCATCCTTTCGAACAGTAACATTTTGCAAATAATAATAATGTTAAGTACAAAATTCGGTATCAATTAAGTCTGACTTTAAAGAATCAGTTGCTGTTTAACACTGCAGTAATTCAGTACTAGAGGCCGAAGGTTCCACATGCAGTACTTCCAAAGAGAAAAATGGGAAGAGAGGGGCACTTCCGGGGTCGTATTCAACAAACAGCTACAGTTAAGGAAGTACCACTCAAGAAGGTGTTTCGGACGGAATAAAATCCTTGATGGGGCGTGGGCGTGTTGGAGAAGAGTGGTACACTTCCTTAATCCTCCAACTCAGGAAAACCTGCGATGCCCGCCGCACTGCCGCCGTCAAACTAGCTCTAGCCAGGTCACCATCCCGGCCGCCCGCTCTCCCACACGCCGAGGCCGCTACTCAGAAACGGTCGGCCGGGGTGCCCACCTTCCCAAAACACCCAGCCACTGACCCCCAAAGCCTTAGCCCCACCCAGCTCGGAGCGTCACTTTCGGGGAGGGGCCAGCGACCTAGCGTCGTAGGCCACGCCCCCACGGCTGTTCTCCCGCGAAAATTCGAAAAGTGCCGTTTGAACCGAGTTTGCGGCGAGGGACCGGAAAGCCCCTCGGAAAGGACAGGAACGGGCCACGGAGAGGCAGGCGACACCGGGCGGCCAGGTCGGTCCTTACCAGCGGGAGCAGCGCAGCAGCCTCTCCAGGCGGGCGAGCGCCGCGCGGCTGTAGGCCCAGGGCCCGTCGTCAGCCGGCTCCATGGCGAGCGCGGGAGAAGGCTTGTTCCCCGAGCGGACGGTCGGCGGCCTACGCGGCATCGCCTCGGAGGGCGGGAGGTCTGGTCCTGCTCGGGAGCCGCCCCGCGCTGGCACCGCCGCACCCCGCCGTCGCGCGGAGCCCCTGAGCCGCTGGAACGCCTGGGGCAGCGCGGCGGAGACGCGCGCGGTAAAAACTCCCCGAGACGGAGGGGCCCGGCTTGAGGCCACGCCCTCAGGGGCTGGGGCGGAGCTTCAGAGACGCGGGCAAAGCTCCGGAAGCGGAGGGGCGAGGCTTGAGGCCCCGCCCCCCGGGGTTGTGTGCCTGGTCTCTGGGTGCCTGGTGGAGGGGGCGTGGGTAGAGGTCACGACCTCAAGCCCCGGGAGGCGGGACGTGTGGAACTTCCTGCGCGCGAAACAGAGGGGCGCGGCTCCAAGGCCACGCCCTCAACGTAAGGGGGGGGCAGCCCCCCCATGGGTGTCTTTCCGGAGCAGGGCTTGTGCACCTACCTTGTAGCATCAGAAACTCGTTGCTGAAACTGTCAGCAAAAAACGGCGTTTTCGTTACTGTTGAACTTGGAAAAGCTTTTCCCATTACAATAAAAGTAGTACCATTCTGCATAAGAAAGTTTTCTTTTTCTCCTTGCCAAACACCGAATTCATCTTGCCACTGACTTAAACTCTAAAGGCCAGTAGGTAACGCGCCTTTAATCTTAGCCCTACGGAGGCAGAGGAAGGCGTTTCTCTGAGTTCAACGACAACCAGGGCTACACAGAGAAACTGTCTCGAAAATCCATAAATAAAAATAAAACTCTAAAGGTATTTCCTTGTTTTCTGATCAGGTGGCCTATGCCAACCAGAGGAACATGTCATTTTTCCAAGAAGCTTCTCTTCGATGACTCATCAAAAGTCTCTGTCTTGTACACTAAGATTCACTTTGGAACCTGGAATTTTCCTCTTACCAGGGCTCCTTCAGATCCTGACTCAAACATCAGTCCTTGAAAGGTTTTCCTGATCCTCCATTTAGATTCTCCCAGGTCCTTTCAAGATTACACTTTGTGTCACGTGCATTTATATGAGCATGCTTCTTCCTCTGTCTCCAGATCCCAGAGGGCCAGAGATCCACTACATCTGACCTGTTCCTTTAATACAGTGCCGGCTCTAAGTCAGGCTGAAGATTTGAATTCGTGAACTGTATGAGCCAGGCCTCTTGTAAGTACTTCACTGGATTATAAAACGTCAGAGGGTACAACATGGAACTAAATCACTGTGTCCACCCCGAGTACATGAGTTGAAGCCCTACCCACTAATGGGATGGCATTTGGAGGCAACGCCTGGCAGAAATACGTAGGTTTAAGTGAGATTTTGAGAACTGATGAACCAGCCTGCATCTTATAGTAAAGACAAACCAGGTTCATTCCTGTTTATGATTAAACTTCTGTTTCTTAAGGTCTGGGCTATGCCTCACCTGTAACCTTAATTAAAAATTGTTCTATAGTAGATGTTCCATATCAACTCTCTCTTTCTTTCAAAAAGATATGACTGTTGTTTTTAATTCTGCGGGTTAGACGGTAGAGACGGTTACGCGAGGAAAAGACACAGACACACTGCGGTCCTACTTGGGTACACTTTAATGGAGGAGGGGCAACAAACAGGAAGGGGGCGTGCAGACACGGTAGGGAAAGCGGGAAAGAGAAGGGAAGAAGGGGCGTACTCGTGATGGTCCTTGCTTTTAACGGGGAATGCAAAGGCTTCTGGGAAATGTGTTCCACGCTTGCGTCCAGAGGGATGCTGGGAGTTGTGGTCTCGCCAGAGAACAACAATGACCGTCTTGCCACACCTACCCTGTTTCAAAAGGTTGTTTTGACTACCCTGTTATGACCACCTTGCAGTCATGTCTTTGTTTCAGGGCGTCATTATGACTAACTTGTTGTGCTTATGTTCTGCACCTGTAACCTGTCAGAATCCTGTATTTTGCCTGTCAAATCCTCATTTGGAAATCCTGCCCCGAGCTATAAAAACTCTGTCTTATTCTGACCTCGTGGACCCTGCCTTAGGGGGAGGCAGCCCATGTACACAAATTAAAATGCTTACTTTAATTAGTTTGGCCATGTTTATTTGGGTTGGTGGTTTTTCTCCTCCCATCTTTGGGATTAACAGAAACACTATAATCTTCAGCTGAGAAAGAATTTGCTCACTTTCTACTGTGTAAGAGCACAGAAAGTGGGGAAGGCCCTCATCTGAGCCTAGCCATGCTGACACTGATCCTGAATGTCTGTCTTCCAGACTGTCATAAATTCTTTACCACATGACAGTGACAGCAGCTGACCCTGTGTTTGCTGTTCTAGAAAGGCCCCTTGGCTTCATACTTGTAATGTGGATTAGCAATCCACTTGGCTCCCAGTGTGTTCTAGAAATGGGGCTATGTTTCCAAACCTGACCCTAGGCAAATCTGTCACAAGGTTGTCATTGGGATAAATGAGTGATTGGCATGAGGTTCTGGGTCCATTTGGAGCCCAGGCAGGATGCTTAGGATATGGCACCCCCCTTTCTGCCTTAGGTCAGTGGCCCAGAAGGATGCTTTCTTGTGTACCTAGGGGTATTTACTCTGTCTTTCTGGTGCTCTAGGGTGGAGGATCAGAGGTTAGCAAATGTCTGCTGAAGACCAGAACCTTCTCCTCAGAACTAGCTAGGGACCATCTGGTCAAAGAAAGCACAATTGGGCTTCCCCCCTGTACTTCCCACAGAAGGCTTTAGGAAGTGGTGGCCAGTAGATGGGAAAATCAAAAGGAAACGGTCAGTATAATGGTCTGTCCTGTCCCTTTAAGAGACAAGCCCCGCCCACTGCCTCTGCTGAGGCAAGTGGGTGGATTTTCCTTCTGCCTGCCTCTCTTCTTCACTCTTCTTCACCTTTCTTCCTCTCTCTCTCTCTCTCTCTCTCTCTGTTTCACTTTCTCTTCCTCTTTCTGCCTCTCTCTCTGCTCTTCTCCCCTTCCCCACTTTTTCCTTCATAGCCTACTAAATAAGTATCCACTTTTCCTGTATGGGTCTCTGTCTCTCACTTACCATGTGGCTTCCTGCCTGAGACTGGCTGCCTCTGTGGTCTGTGCTCTTGTGGTCCACTGAGGTCTCATGGCCCACTGCCGCCATTTGGGGATCTGCAGCGTTTTACCTTAACATTCGTTGCTTGTGACTAGCCTCTGGTACTCTTCACATTCCCTCCCGCCTGCGGGTGAGCAGGCTGAGGACATGTGGAACCCTGGCCTCAGGAACCAGGTTTCTTTACCACAGCTCTTCATTCTATCTGCCTGAACACCGACCTCTACACACAGCAGCGACTTGGGTGTTGAGTTTTCCCCTTCCAGCTCCCAACCACAGCCTCGTGGCTACTGTTGAGCCCTTTGCTGACATTCATCTCTGCTTGATTCCCATAGCTGAAAACGTGACTGGACTAAACGGGTTGTTCCTCCCATGCTAGCACTGAACATGCTGTGCAGTGCATTTGATCTGGGGCCTGGGGTCCCTCGGATTTTTCTTTCTCCTTTCTTTTTCTTTTCTTTTCCTTTGGACCACTCATACATGGTCCCCACCATGAGAGACCGCTCTGAGCAGCCTCTAGTCTCTGGTTTCTGAGTCGCTGGGACCCAGAGCCAGTCAGGTTTCATCCACACCCTGCCTATAGCGAGGAGACATTCTTCTAAAAGCCCTGTGGCAGCATCGTTCTTGCGGGTTTTCACGCTTTCAGCTATGGAATATAAACCCTCAAACTATGAGCACCTGGTCTGTGAATGCTCTGCTGGTGTCCCGCAGGCTCCACTTTTCCTCAAACTATCCCTGACACCACTACCACTGGTCCCATGGAAAAAACAATAACAAGATAAGTCGAATCCATGAGGCAGCTGTTTTCAATTTCAGCATTTGCTCCCTGCCGCACAGCTTATGGTATGGCAGCTAGGCAACAGGGTACATCACACATCTAGATCTCTTGTTATTATATTTAAAAATCCCACAGCTCAAAAAACATGGCTTCTACATATAACGTGACCGCTGCCATTTTGACTGAGGTCAGGTGACTTCACTGCCATCTTAACTGAGAGCCAGTTCAGGTGACCATGTCCTGACATCTTTACTGAGGTATTCCCTCTCTGGTCCCCTGGTGCTGACTCTGTTACATATGTGTTTTGTCCACTGGTGTGCCTTTGGTAGGGTCCACCACCAGCATCCTCTTCACCCAATTCCTGTTTAAGTGTGTGTTTACTGTTAAATGTTTTAATTGTCTGTTTATTGTATGTCATTCCAGACTACAAAACAATAAGTCTCGTGTTTTAAATTGGCGTGTTTAACTTAATTTATTGTTTTAAATTGGTATTTAAACAGGATTGAATCCTAAAAACCCAATCCACCAAGGATTAAAATTCTCATCCACCAAGGCAAACAGATCTTCCTTCCACTTGCAGCCTGAGACCTGCTTCTTTTCCATCTCTCTTCTGAAGAGGTAGCTGCTGCTGTGGCTCCCCCCATCTCTCTCTCTCTCTCTCTCTCTCTCTCTTTCTTTTTGTCCCCCTTCTCCCTTCCTCTCCCCTTCCATAACCCAATAAATAAATATCCAATCTCACTCTGCATGGAGTGCATATCTTCTCAGTCTGTCACGTGCCACGCAGCTCCCTGCCTGGGACTTGCTGCCCTTGTGAGTTTTATTTTTACCATAACTGTCACAAAAACTATGATTTTGTTACAGCAGCCCAGCCAAACAAAATACAAAAAGAAACATTTAGGGTGTGGCTCAGAGATGTTAATTTTGACCCTGATGTTTTTATTTTCAGAACTCTTTTTTCCCTCAACTTCAGTAGTCCTCTACATAAAAAAAAAAAAGACCCAACATATTTCAGTGACTTAACCAAAATCCGTCATTTGAGTAGACGCAGATAAACAAAACTAAAATCAAATCCTAGCCCCAACCCCACCTCTATGCCAAGTGCATGCTGGGCAGGTACTGTATGGCTGAGTCACATCCCAACTGCTCCTGTTGGGGCTCATAAAGCTTTTAAAGAGACTTCAATACACGTTAACCACCACACCGTTTTTCTAAAACTCAGAGGCCTCATGAAATTAGTCCCTGATCACAGAGGCGGTCAAGCCATTACTGATTCTTCAAGTCCTAGGTAACTTCAACTGTTCAAATTTAGAGAGCCTCTGCA